GTCCGACCATCAATCCTGGTGCCTTTGCACTCCGGTAACCAATGATGGAGGCAAAATTACCATTACCTTCCTTGTCCTCCCTTACCCCTTTCTTTATCGCTCCCCCTCCCACAACTGCTTTGACAGAGGCTTCCTTGGTTACTGAACCCGCACCCCTCAGGCAACGGGTGCATCAGTGATGGGTTCGTATGAACTCCCGGGTGGGCGATCAGTCCCTCCTTAAAAATAATACTGAACCACGGGAGTGGAGTATCCAAGCGGCTCTACTAAATGAGGTTGGACTCATGGTGGTCGTCGTTTGTAAACAAATTGTACATTAGCTCGAGGGTACCGGCCAACCGGAGCCGGAAATAGAGTGCCTTCTCTATCTCTCCGGCGGAAAGTGAAAGGCACGGCTGAAAGGTCGTGCCGGAAACCATAAAACTGCCTTTTGCAAGGCACATGTATGGAGCACTTCTGAACTTGGTTAGCATTGAAGCACCTCGCTAGCCAAAGGATGTGTCAGGTCCATGCATGTAAAATCTTCCTGGTGTTCTCTATGAAAACACTGGGCGTCTGAGAAGTCCCCTCGGGGATAAGTCCGGACGTTAAAGATCCTCATGGGTATCATCTACCCATGAGTAAATATGGTAACATTTCGGGAAATCTCTCAGCGATCAGAAGATCATAATCGATCATCGCGTAAACGTTTGTGTGGTGTATACCACTTTATTTCTCAAGCTATGCGGATTCGAACCCACGGACCCTCAGCTGTTCAGCAGTACAGCTGTATTTTTAAAGTTTAGGGTTTTCGCTTAAGTCTTGAACAAAAGAAAGACAATATTGATGGATCATGAGAGTTTTTATTGCCAACAACCGTATTGGCGTGTTCGTAATACATTATGAATGACCCGAATTCGTATAGCTTGTGACATAAAGTGGTAAACGTCAAAATATTAAGTAGTTTTGTTTTAAATAGATCCCGTCAGGATTGGTCTGGCCTTTGGCAATCTTCAGTGGCAGGTTTGTTTCAGAATATTTGATAAAACCTAACCAAAATTCGAGGTAAGGACATCAAAGAGGACGAACAGAAAACGACGAAACTACAGGTCTATCACTCCTCAAACCTCAAATTATCGAGAATAGACAGATGAAAATATGCTCAAACAACCTACATTTAAGTATATAAAATAAATTTCACAACTGACTAACTTTTACAAAGCCTGTTTGAAACTATGTAAATAACTACAAATTATATCGCGGCATGAATTTCTGATCGAAAGGGAAAACGGGAGCTACATGATTGCAAAATTACTCAGCAAATTATTCCAGAGTAAGTACCAAGTTTCTGCTTCTTGGATAAAATATCGCCTACATTCGATAAAAGTGTAGTTTCACTTTGTAATTTGCTTTTTATTCTAGATAATTTATTTCAGATTTTAACGGAAGGATTGATACGTAGATCAATACAGAAGTTCATGGAAGTTTGTGAGGTAGAATGGAAAAGAGGTTTATTAAATAAACGAAAAAACATTAAATTTTCAACTCTCAACACGCCAGACAAGAATGACACATCTACCCGGAAAACTACTTTGAGCCCTGAAGATGATCTCAATAAAGGTCGAAACGTTGGCACGATTAAGGAAATGTTTTTCTCTAAACCTACGCCACACCAGACCGCATCTCACGACCTTCAAATAATCATTAAATTTTCTACTGTTCAATTGGAGAAAAAATTAAATTTTAGAAAACAGAGAAAATGGAAAGTTTTTTTTGTAGTAATAAACTCACCTGCTTTTATACCGTATTGTTTTTAAAAGCTCCTTGAATTTCTATTAAACGTAGAGCAATTTTTAAGTGACAACGACCCAATCAGATCGGGCATAAATCGTTTGACGCGATAGAATTAGTCGATTCACTCCGGGCGAAGCGGTACGACGCGGACCCCATTAAGCAACCATCGACCCGGGGAGGATCGAAAAGCACAAGGTAAACTTGTTCAACCGTTTTAATCAAATGGCATTAAGAGGAAACAACTTAATTGGTCCAAATTGGCGGTTAGGCTCGTTGGTAAATTAAACAAAGCGAAAACGGCTCGATCGGAAAATCATCGGCCCGATGCCCAATTGGACCGAGTTTTCTCCGTTTTCCTCTTCACCGTCTGCTCCCAACAGGAATAACAAAGGTGCTCGTTACTGTTTGCTTAACGCCGATAGATAGGCTTTTCCAAATAACACCTACACGACCGTTTATTTGCCAATCCTTTTTATTTTCTTTTTTTTTGTCAGTCCATTGTCCTTTCAACTTTGTTTACGCATTTTTTTGCCCTCATTGAATTTTATGATGTAATAAACCTGTGTAAGTTTTAAAGGTCATGGACAATTAATCATTATTCATTAATGATATGTACGGATTTAACTTTCGGGACATTGATTTTTCACCACTGACATCTCGACTGACAAACTTTCCCCCCTGTTCATCCATCATTCACTTCTGCCTCTTTTTCCCTAAAAATTAATTCAGATACTTGTCCTCGAAAGCTATTTGACCCTTATCAATCATTCAGTTTTTCTGTTTTCTTTTCTTATTATTGAATACTTCTGACACAACAGGACAAAGTTTGCGCCTACCGTGTACTGTGATGTATATAAAAGTGTAAAAAGTACGATGAAAGGTTTCAGACAACAAAAATTTGAAACGTCGAACTTTGTTTAAATCTGTAAGCCTCATTTTGTTTGCAAATAAATTTTAGTACTAAGCCTGAGAGTAGGTACTAGTAATTTAAGTTCTATCAAACAATAACTGCCTTAATATCACTAATGTTATGAATACTACATAAAGCAAATACCCAAAATAGTGACCAAACAATCGAGAATTTATCGTACTGTAGAAAATCCTGGCCACACTAAAGTTTACGACATATTACAAATATACTGCTCCAGAAATAAAATGACGCTTTAAAATTTTGATATTTTTGTTGTATTTGCCTTTTCAGTAATAGTAACACCGACATCTTATAATTTAGGTATTTATTAAAAAATTTGGTTAGTGTGAAAATAAAACTATTTCTCAAAAACAAAAAAATTAATGGAAAAAGAAAAAAAATCAGCTTTTTGCAAAAACATAAAACATTACAAAACAAACTTTACAATATTTAATACGGTGTATTACCTCCTCTTGCCCTCATAACACACTCTAATCTTCTCAGCATGCTCATAAGAGATATAAAAATTCTAAGATTTTAACGACTTCTTTCAGAATTTCATCCTAAATTTCTACTAACGTAACTTAGCCTTAGTATAACTAGCGTTATAAAACACCCAAAACATCGATCAAAGAATGGAGAATTTATCGAACTGTGGAAAATCCTGACCATAGTTTTTGACATATTCGAATACACTTCTCCAGAAAAAAAAAGTTACGCTTTGAAATGCTGATATTTTTTATCTACCTGCTTTTTCAGTAATAATTAACACCGATATTTTTTTATAATTCAGGTATTTATTAAAAAATAATAAAAGTGTGAAAATAAAACTAATTCTCAAAAACAAAAATTTAATGGAAAAAGAAAAAAATTCAGCTTCTTGTAAAAACATAAAACATTATAAAACAAACTTTAAAATCTTTAATACGGTGTATTACGTCCCCTTGCCCTTATAACACATTCTAATCTTCTAAGCATGCTCATAATTAAGACTTGTGGAATTTCATCCCAAATCTCAACTAACGTAACTTTCAGCTCAGCTAAGGTGTTTTGAGTGTTACCCAACGTCTGAGCTCGTCCCAAAATTACTTGATGGGGTTCGAATCAGGGGAGCTAGCCTTGTTAGAGTGTAAATCTCGAAGGTAATTCATAACAAAAGTTGGACTTGCATTATCTTGCATGAATAAAAATTGCTCGCTAATAACAGGATCAAATGGCACCACATATTCATCAAAAGTTTCTGCCACCTAGATTTCTCATTATGTGACGACCTATTAAAAATGCTCGGTGTTTGCCGATAAAAGAGATTCAACTCCACACTGAACCGCGTCAGAAGGATGCGCTTTCGACAATGCAGCATTGGCTGTAGAAGTTGACTGCTGCTCGACAAACTCGAAGACGTCCATCTGGTGAATGGAGGCAGTACTGAGGACTCGTCTGAAAACATACCATTCCTTCATGACAGTCTCTGTCCAATGTCTGTGTTCGTTGTAAAGCGATCCCGCCGGTGGTTCTCACTCAGACGTTTTTGAGACGATTAAGATGCAGTGGAAAAGCTATGTCCCAGAGGGTGAAATCTGATTGAATCGTTAGTCAGCCAGTCGCTTGGCTCTTGGGTCTGGTATCCGAATGCACCTTGCAGTCTCCTGGTACCGCCGTATGCCCAGCAACCGTCGTTTTAAGCAAACCTAAAACTCTCAAAGCGTAGAGCTGATTTCTTCCATCCTCAAATGATCGCTGATTACGGCCATTTTCTAAATCGTTTTGTATTTTTGACACCAGCAAGGTAGCGAATACAGGCATTTTTGAAGTATTAAATGCCCTTGTTGATGATTTTAATTGTCGAAATTTTAATTCAAATTAAGAATTTAGCGGTTTTACCTCACAATCGGCGACAAAAATAAATGCTTTCCGTCTAATTATCATTATTAAAGAAATAAAAATATGGCCAAAATATTATCAAATTAACAAATAAATCAAAATTGCAAGATGATGAGCGTTTAATACTCGAAATCCGCATCGTTTGAACAACAAATCTGTGAATAGAACTATCATTTTCAAAAAATGAGAAAAAAGCAATCTACCTGGGAAAACAGTTTTTGAGCTATATAGGTCTTAATGTCATACCTCTGAGATGAATACTTTTCTTCAAGTTCCGAAAGAGCTAACGGCAAAAATATATACTCTTTCAAATAGGAGAAAAATAATAACAGCAAGATTTAGGATATAACAACCAAAGAAAGTATCATGCTTGCGTATCCATTAGCAGGTCTTCGGACAGTATCCGGTAGAAATGGATAAAAGAAAAGCGACCTACCTGACTAAGCGGTTCGAGAGAGCTTGCAGTCGCCTCTGTGTGAATACTGTGGAGGAAGGCTTCGTACTGTTCCAGCTTTTTTAGCCGGTACAGCAGGTTGTGGAGGAGCAAGGAGATCTCCTGGCGGACGGGCCCTTCGACGGTGACGCACCTCTGGGCCACATCGCGAACGTGAGACATGACCCGCTCGTCTCGGAAGTCGTACGGGAACGTCTCGGACCACTCGCCCAATAGCTGGACCAACCTGGGCAGCAACTGTGCCCGTTCCTAAAATAAAACCCGTTTAACTAGAACAATTCTTTGAGGAAAATTTCCATGAACTTACCTTGGCCGTAGCGTTTTTGGCTTTCAGCTGAGATTCAGAAAGTGCGAAGATCTGCCCGAGAAGATCGTGAGGCTTTATGAAGAGCCGGGAGGTTAGAAGGAATGCGAAGAGGAACGCCCTGTCAGGATAATAATCGACGGTGGGCACCATGTGCTGGACAAGAGCTTCTAACCTTCCAGAAACAAGGTTTCCCTCGCGGTACATGACCGCCTGGAAAATAAAAAACAAGGATTAATTTAAAATATATTGAAAATTTTATGTAGATATAACAACATACTATGATTTTCTATAAAATACACTAAAACATTAATTTTTATTGAATTGTTCATTAATACATTTTTGGAATGACTTGGTGCTAAAGAGATAGAGAAAACAAATCAAGATTAAGAAAATTATAAGGCGGAATAATTTTCAGCTTGGATCAACAGATCAATGGCACGGGAAGTCCCGCGGATCCATAAAGCCAACGGAACTAATTCCAGCCAAATGTTCAACTGCTGATGGCGTGATTATAGTGGAATTTAAGGAAGTTCCCGTCCCTTTTTAACCCTTGCCTTTGCCCGTCGAGGTGTAAAATCACCATTCAAAGAGAACCGTCGTAATGAGACCTTTCTCCAAGACTTCGACGGCGGAGATGGAATTTCATTAAAATATGTGTTTAATGTCTTCTACGTTTATCTTAGAAGTTTATTGTAGAAATAATCGATATTCATTTAAAACGTTAGCCGTTCCAAAACGGAGTTCTTGAGATTTCTTTTGGACTGATTTGGGTCGTAGGATGTGGACATATGAGCCACATCCTACCTTCAATCGTAAGTTATAAACTAAGCAATCTCTCAACATATTTTTTTCTTAGACTGATACAGATTTGCTAAGTCGCGGCTTTTTCTTTTGAAAAATGGTTTCAAAATGAAAGTGAACCGTGATCAAGCACGATATTTATCTATCCAGAGGCTGATACTTGTCCGTTCTGTAGAAACAAAAGAACCATTATAGTCGACTATAGGTTCAAACGATCAAATCATAAGTAGAAATGCAATGTAGTGGAAATCAAATTCTAAAGCAATCAAGAATAGAAGAGATGGCATTTAGCGAGACAATGTGGGCGGCTATAAACCGTAATGGGCTTGTAATGGCTTGGGACAAAACTCCCGTTCAACCGTATACGACCGGGTTACAATATACTTTCCGGCCACTGCGATGTCGTTTATGGACGTATGCTTGTACGGCTGGACTCAAATCCGACCGAATTCATAAATCGAAAGAAAGCCCCGTTGGCGAGAAATTGCCCACCCGACAAAGACATAGTGTCTTTCACTCTTAAAAAAACGGTCGGATGCAGGGCGAAATGAGATCTAATATTTTTCGGACTCATACCTCCAAGGACGAAAAGATTGGGAAGACCAAGGAGGGATAAATAAATGCGCCTAATCTAACAGTTCCTATCTTAAAACGGAAATTGAATTATGTGTCACTTTGAAGAATTTTTCAGCGTTTAATGAACTTTATCAGGCTAAGATAAGAATAATATTATGAAGTTCAAAAAAGAAGATTTAATAGACAAACTGACCTTTAACATAAAGAAAAAGATCGAAAAGTGACATGTTCTCTACACGTTACACATGTATCTTCTTACTTGTGTTCGTAAATATTTCCGGCAAAATATTTTAATGAAATTCATATATGTGTTTAGGCATAATAGACGGCATAAATTATTTTAATTAATTATAGTTCTTATCTAAAGCCTTGGTTGTAATGTAAAAGCAAGGTCCTAGGTCCGGTCGTGAAATTAGCTTTTCATCTCAACGAAGGACTTCAATAAAAGTATAATTAATTAAAGTTTTAATGAAACGTTATACTCTTACTACACGATATAGTGTGATTCCGACAAATATATGATATACTGAATATATTTTTACATCTATTAGGTTTCGTGGGTTTGCAATTAATTAATCTTTAACTAAAGCTTTGGTTGAGAAAAAAGTCAGTATCACGAGAGGGATTCGAACCCACGAGCTTGGGCTAAATACGCCGCTGCTCTACCACTTTTTATCTCAACCAAAACCTTAATTAAAGATTAATTAACTGAAAAGAATTTATTTGGTCAATCGGACCAAAAAACACAAGAGATGTAATAAGCAAAATGAAGTATACTTCACTAAAGCTCTCCCTGGCCATTTCATTTGTCACCGAGAATCAAATAGATTACACGACATTTGAAAAATGGCAAAAAGGAGGGATAAAATTCAAAACGTGGGGTTGAGATGGGAAGTTAGTGTCCGAGTGGATCGAGGACACGATAGCTCAAGTGGTAGAGCAGAGGCGTATTTGGCCAAAGGTCGTGAGTTCGAAACCCGCTCGTGATACAGACATTTTTATCTCAATCAAAATCTTAATTAAAGATTGTTATTATTATCGTGTATACTTTTTAATATATGAGTTGACATTTTACGATAATCAAGCTATGCCATATCACTCGGAAGAGCATGAAAATTTAATAATTACCAAGTTTTGGTATACTGGGTGATTCGCTACTCGTACGACAAGTGCTTATGCAAATGCATCAAAAAAGTACGTATGAACCATGGCCCGATTTTCAACCCTTTCGAGGATATTAAAAATTTTAAGTGTTCTTCTTTTAACTATCTAAGGTTTTCGTTATAAATCCACTCGTAGCAAAATAAATACAAATAAATTTTTATGAAATTTTTTTTATCGAAATTATTGGGTTGTCCGGAAAATAATGCAGGATTTTAAGTTTTCATTAAAAAAAATCTATATAAAATATTCTGTTTACGTTTACAGGATTACTCATTTGTATGAATGTCAACACTTATTAATCCTCTTCCAAATGATATTGTTTGTTTACCTCTGTAGCATTCCGCTACTTGGAAATAATTCAGTCATCCTTATAATGTCAAAGCGAGAATTTCGTACGATTTTCTTTTACGAGTTTAAACTCGGCCGAAGCGGAGCCCAAACGGCTAGAAACATTAACCAAGTCTGGGGCGAGGGTTGTGTTAATGAGTGCACTGTGCAAAGGTGGTTTAAAAAATTTCGGGAGGGAGATTTCAGCCTTGAAGATGAAGAAGGTCGTGGAAGGCCTTCCTCTCTTAATGATGATGTTCTGCGATCAGTGGTGGAAGAAAACCCCAAAACAACTGTTCGAGAACTTGCAGAGCAACTCAAAGTCAGTAAAACGACCGTCGCTGACCACCTCAAGGCGATTGGAAAAGTGAAAAAACTCGAAAATTGGGTTCCACACTCATTAAACGATCGCCAAAAAAATCAGCGCTTTGATGTTTGTGCATCACTTCTTTGTCGAAACAAAAATGACCCATTTCTGGCCAGAATTGTTACATGTGACGAAAAGTGGATTCTGGACAGTGGCTCGACAAAGGAGAAGCTCCAATACATTTTCCAAAGCCCCCAACTCATCAAAAAAAGGTAATGGTTACGGTATGGTGGGCTTCATTTGGTTTAATACACTACAGCTTCTTAAATCCTGGCGAAACCATCAATGCTGAATCATACTGTAACCAAATTAATACCATGCATCAGAAATTGGCAGTAATGAAGCCCTCTTTGGTCAATCGGAAAGGGCCCATTTTGTTGCATGACAACGCTCGACCACATGTGTCACGTGTAACGTCACAAAAATTATTGGAGCTTGGCTATGAAACTTTGCCTCACCCACCCTACTCTCCGGACCTCTCGCCTACTGACTACCATTTTTTTAGACACCTGGACCACTACTTACAACACATAATATTCAAAAATCAAACGGAACTGGAAAATGCATTTATTGACTTTATCAATTCTAAAAATTCTGAATTCTACTCAGACGGAATTAATAAGTTACCAACACGTTGGGAGAAATGTATTGAGAGTATGGGAAATTATTTTGATTAAAGAACATTGCTTTAAAGTAACTAGTTTCTTTTTTTTTTGTTTAATACCAAAATCCTGCATTATTTTCCGGACAACCCAATAACTAATCTGTTTATAACTTTCAAACGACTAAACGTATGAACTACAGGTAGTGGGCACAAATCACACCTATCACAATCATTGACAACGGGGGATACAAAATTATGTGTTACAAGAGAATTTGCACAATTCGTCCTTTATTTTTATAAATTTTGATGGCTTAAAATACAACTTGTTTTTACACAAACTGAAAGAAGAGACCTTCGGCATTCCAAGGGCTGTACGAATGTCGAATTTGAATAAAACACAGAGGATTTCGGAATTGACGGAACAACGTACTTAAAAAAAAACCCTGCAGCGAATGAAGCTTAAAATTTTTATTATTATTAAAATTCGTATGTAAGGCTTTAAATGGTGTTTAAAAAGAATCGTAGTGAAGCATATTTTAGATTCGGTAATTTTTCATAAATAAGGTGCCATTACTCGTAAGACAAAGTTCAACAGGTGCTTATACACCTCAAACGCAACAGAAAGTTGGCAACCATGTCCTATACTCAACCCTTTCGCAAACATTCAACTTTTTTTTTTTCAAAAATCTACGTTTTTCGTCATAAATTTTCTCGTAGCCCTTGAACTTTTCGTTTTTCGGGAAATCCAAAAAAGCCACTAAAAATAAATAGCATTTAATTTCCTTTAAGAGATTTCCTTCTACACCTTTCAATTTATTTTTTGCTAAAAAAACACTAAATCTTCTAAATCGTTCAAAAACGATTTCGAAATTTAAAATTATTGAAAAGCTAAATTTGCAACCTCATTGGAAAAATACACTGCATAAATTGGCACATTTCCTAACAACTTTTCGTTTAACAACCTTTCTAGCCATATACCTTTTTCATTAATTACATGGAACCAAAATGCAAAAATTTTAAGCTGAATGGAAAAAATGTCATGACGGTGTGAAAAAGGGGAATAGCGTTAATCTTGTAAGTAAATTTTTTGTCCTGAGCAAAATTGATTTCCCAACTTTACTTAATAAAAAATCACTAAAAAAAGAAAACTTATTCAAAACACATAATGAAGAGGCAATATTCATAGCGAACAACCAACTATAGGAGAAAATGTCTACACCAAATAAAGACAAAAAAAGGATAATACAGAAGTTGTCAATCTCAAATTTTACGTAATAATTAAAATACAAAAAAAGAAACAGTCAACGCAATTCTTTTCCTTCGTTGTTCAATATGTTTGTCTCTTTTGTATGTGTTTTGTTTCAGTTTTAC